AACTCCGAGACGCTGATGAGCACACCTGGCGCAATGGCGCTGTGGAGTGTCACACCACGATTGCTACTAGGAACAAGTGCTGTACTAGTAGTAACAAGAAGCTACTAGGAACAAGTGCCTTACTAGTAGTAACAAGAAGCTACTAGTAGCAGGTGCCTTACTAGTAGTAACAAGAAGCTACTAGTAGCAGGTGCCTTACTAGTAGGAACAAGAAGCTACTAGGAACAAGTGCCTTACTAGTAGTAACAAGAAGCTACTAGTAGCAGGTGCCTTACTAGTAGGAACAAGAAGCTACTAGGAACACGTGCCTTACTAGTAGTAACAAGAAGCTACTAGTAGCAGGTGCCTTACTAGTAGTAACAAGAAGCTACTAGTAGCAGGTGCCTTACTAGTAGAAACAAGAAGCTACTAGGAACAAGTGCCTTACTAGTAGTAACAAGAAGCTACTAGTAGCAGGTGCCTTACTAGTAGAAACAAGTGTCTTACTAGTAGTAACAAGAAGCTACTAGTAGCAGGTGCCACGCTCGTTCGTAACAAGTGCCTTACTAGTAGTAACAAGAAGCTACTAGTAGCAGGTGCCTTACTAGTAGAAACAAGTGCCTTACTAGTAGTAACAAGAAGCTACTAGTAGCAGGTGCCTTACTAGTAGAAGCAAGTGCCTTACTAGTAGTAACAAGAAGCTACTAGTAGCAGGTGCCTTACTAGTAGAAACAAGAAGCTACTAGGAACAAGTGCCTTACTAGTAGTAACAAGAAGCTACTAGGAACAAGTGCCTTACTAGTAGTAACAAGAAGCTACTAGTAGCAGGTGCCACGCTAGTAGTAACAAGTGCCTTACTAGTAGTAACAAGAAGCTACTAGGAACAAGTGCCTTACTAGTAGTAACAAGAAGCTACTAGGAACGATTGCTCTGGTGCTATCGACTTCTTGTTAGTTTGTAGCGATGCCCTTTGCCCCCAGTAGCATTCTTGCTACTAGTACCGTCCTTGCTCCTAGTAGTACGGCCAGGAGCCCCTAGTAGCTTCTTGTTCCTTTTCTTAATTAAGAAAACAATCGTCATTCGGATTGTGAAGTGTGAACAAAAACTCTCAGCAGGTGAACAAGAAAAATGACCGCGGTAACAAGGCATCAAGCACTCCAGACATAAGGAGAAAAGCGAATCTACTGTTCTGGGTTTAGGCAAGTTTTTCTTCCTTACCTTCCCTTCAATTCTGTCTTCTTAAAGCATAATTACTGTAGCAATGATAGTGCTCTAGCCGGACATGGGAGTGGGTTGTAAAGGGCAAATCTACCGGGTTCTGGCATGGTCTGTGAAAAAACTCTCTCTCATTCTTTCGTAAAGGATGCTTTCTGTAGACTTCTTAACTCATCAGGAACTGTCTAGCTTGGTTTCCTATAACTTTTAGGCTGGAGGCCATCGCTATTGGGTTGGAGGCCATTGCTATTAGGAAGAAAGAACAGCTAGGTTTCCTTAAACATCTAGGAACCAAATCATTAAGCCTGAGCCCTACTGCGTCCAAGATACCAGGAGCGGCCTCTACTCGATAGCTACTAGTAGCCCTACTAGTTGCTAGTAGCAAGCCTCCTCACGGCCTACCCTGAAAAAAGAGAGACGTGCTCAGGTGATGCTGTTCTAATTTCAATATGTTTCCAACCAAGAAACCGTTGAAGGTGCACCAAGATGGGAGGTGAAGCTAGCCCTTGGAGAAGCCCCGTGAAAGGGCTCTATGTCACCATTTTTGGGGAAGTCCTTCAGGTCCTTCACTCTGGACGTACAAGACTTGACAGGAGCCCCTAGTAGCGTCCTTGCTCCTAGTAGCGATGCCAGGCGCCCCTA